CAATGCCACAATGCACATGGATGGTGAGATGGGTACATGCTGCCTATCAGCGGTCCAACCAGCAAAGTCCCATCAGCCCAAAAATCCTCACAGGCCCAGCTTGGACTTTGGAAACGAGAGCCACATCCACAGCGGGGCTAATGGCACAGGTGTCAGCTCTGCTGTGTGGGTGCACGCTGGAAATACACTGACTCTCCAGTTAGCAGTGGGAATGGGATAGAGCTTGGGTGAAAATCCCTTTTGCAGAGGCATTCCTAAATTTTAGTGCGAGGCCACTTGTCGGTGTAGGTCCACAGGGCCCCAAGCAGCCTGGCTTCTCTTCCTTTCAGTTTCCTTCAAAACTTTTAAAGTGTTTACCTACCATGTCACTTACGGTGCCACACGGAACACCTGCAAAATGAAGCATTTGGCATTCGTGTGGGGCAGGATGCTTGAAACATGACTCTTGAATTGAAACCGTATGGCCATTTCTGAGTTTTCAAACAAAGTTTTGTGCATATGGGTCTCTTCCAACTCAGGATACTCTATTATTCTATGATTCTATGATTCATTTTTTCCAGCTCAGCTCTTTCTTTTAAGTGCCTTTAATTTTATTTGCCACCAACCTACTAATGTGGGGAAAAATGGTTTTCTGGCTGCAGTGACCTGTTTCATGCATGTTAAAATAGTATTTATTTAAATCTTAAAATAATTTAAATTTAGTCAAACACATTACATTTTCTCTCTCTCTCTTTGTTTAGAAACGTGTTAATTCCATGCAACTTGAGCAAGCTTGGGAACAACCTTCTGGAGTTAAGAATGGAAGACATCGTTCAGTATCAGCGAAGCAGGTAAATCTCAAACGAAGGTTTCAGAAGGCAGAGCAGGGGACAAATCCTGTTACACGAAATGGGTAAATCCATCCTGCCCTTCTGTAACTCGGATCAACATAACCCAGGTAGGAGGGAATAGAGACAAAGATCTCTTTCTCTGCCAGAAAGCTGATTTTGACACTAATCCCTTTCACCACCAGCATCTCCTCTCAGCTCCTGCTCTCCCATACCAGCTCCTGCATTCATCTGAAACCAGTTCATTTCCCACCGTGTAGGTGAGTTACCTTTTACCATGGCAATGGAACAGAGCTAAGCTCTACATTTCAGGGAAAGCCTTTGGTGGAGACCAAAGCTCAGTGCTCAGCGGTGCATTCAGTACCTCCAGGTCGCTCCTTCCCCACTGGATGCAGATGTGTCCCCACTGAAACCTCTTGGGTGTAGCCCACAGGGACAGGAGGAGCGATGCATATGCTTGTGTGTTGGTCACGTTGAATTTGAGAGTGGAACGAGACTTTTTGCGAGCAAAGTACAGCCCATGTGAGTACAAGACATGAACCTCACTCACCATGGAGACTCGGTTTTGCTTCAGAGCACTGTGTGTCCCCATGCAGTCAGACCAGGAGAACCCAAACATGCCAAGAGGACAGTTTTGTAGCATGCCAATGTAAACAGGTTTCTGTCCAAGGACTTCAAGAACAGTTTTTTTGTTTTTTTGTTTTTTTGTTTTGTTTTTCCTACATGAAGGCAAACTTACTTGCAGAAGGAAATGAGACTGTGCTTAGGAAGCCTTCTTCACAGCATGAGTATGTAATCTTTATGCAAACAAGACCTTACTCATGTGGTGTGTCTCAGCAGTCCTCTCCTGGGAAAGCTTTGGCTCCACATTCCAGCCTGCTGGGGACAGACACAACACGCAAGGAGGAAGGTGCATGAGGTGCACAGGTTTCGCTGACAGATGGACGTGTGAGGCTGGAAGCAGCATCACAAGGCACTCACTCACTGGTCCCACTTCATCACGGTGAAATGACCACCCAAATTGCAAGGGCTGACTTAGTCCGGTGGCGCATTTGTAGTTTGTCGCATTTCATGTTTATTTGCTAGTACAATTAATTAAAGGCAGCCGACGTCAGGAGGGCACGGGACTTGTAGCCAAATGCAGGTACTACCAGCTAACAACGGGATTTCCAAGGAAGCATAACAAACATGCCCATGAAATAGAGTGTTCTCCTCAATTTCTTTGCTTACTCATGGTCTGTGAAAAAAACAAAATCCAGAGCGATCTACGTAATCATTGTTGTGCGTAGGAAGGCTTGCCCGGGCTTTGTTCTGGGGAAAAATCTAGCTTTGGCAAAGGTGAGAGGAAAGGAATTTCTAATTGCTTTAGGCTTCTCTTTGTGATTCATTGTTTCTTCACATACCAAATGACTTCAGGTAGGTAAAGAAAATTCACCTCCTGATGCACCAGTGGCAAAAACTCAGCTGTGGCAAGACAGTGCCAGATGTCCTCCTCTTCCTGGGAGCAGGATGATTCAGAGAGAAAACCATTCAGATCGAGGGAAATATGATGAGCTGCGCTTACACCAAGCACTCTGCGCTCTGCTTCCGCTGCAGAAAGCAAAAGCAAAGCAAACCTGCACATGAATTGGGCTTGCAGTAAGGGGTCCTTCCAACAGCCAGGCAAAGGGCTTTCCACATGTTTATTTCTAAAATCTGTGTTTGATTCTCACACCGGAAGATAGGACTTGAGTTTGACTCCTCCTGAGAGCTTTCCTAAGGGGCCTGAGTCACACGCCAACAAACCGATGTATGCAGCAGAGATGAGAAATGGGCAAGCAGCAAAGAAACAACAGCCCTTTTGTCACGGCATGGGCCAGATGCGTCTTTGTAAAGATGATGGGACAAAACGTGTTCACTTTGGATGGCAGAGACCGCTTCTTGGCTGAAGGGATTTGACCAGGTTGTTGCAGCTCCCAATTGTAGCAGCTCACAGCTAGGTGAAGTCTTTTCTCCATGCTCTGTTCACCTGTGTACATCCATCTTTCTCACCAGCCATCCAAAATTACAAACCAAATTGAAAAAAACATTGTGTGAGGAAGATTATAAATTAAAAAGCTACAACTTTCCCTGCACTTCCAGGAGAGAATTCCCAAGCAATTCTCACGTGTACTTTATTTCTCTGCTGCTCTGAACGATGTTGAAAATAACATGCAATATGAAAGAAAAACATGACGCTATTTCTGTCACGTGTTCCCGGTCCTCATATGAGACGATAATCCCTCAAAACGTGCAGTACCGTGTAATTTACTCACATGCTTTCAAATTAGGTGATACGCATCTCTACAGTGACTTCATACCCAAGCCACTAAGGTGAGGAAAGGGATATGTTATTCACCCCACTTAACAAACTCAGTTATTCAAGCTACACTTTGCAACTTTCATTGGCATCAACACACTTCAGGTCAGACAGACTTCCATGGAGAAGATCCTCCTAGGGCAGCCTGATTTGTAACCCCAAATTGTTGCCACCCCATCTGTACAGGACCACCTTGAGGAACTTTGCCCATAAAAGATTGCTCCTCCACTGTTAAAACAGTGGTTCTATTTGCTCTGACTATACTACATGGTGTCCTTAAAAAGAAAGCTGCAGAGGGCATGGAATAATTAAAAACTACATAAGGGCTTTTGCCTACAGAAAGCCACTTTATCACAGTAAGCCAAAAAAGTGAAGTTGTATGGAATGAAGGAAACAGAAGACTCATAACTAAAATTCCAGGCATTAGAGGCAACCATGTTCTAGCTTTAAAAACTCTGCATTGTAGTATAGAACTTCTAGATTTTGTTGTAGGTTTGTTGTTGTTGTTCTTTGTTTGTTTGTTTTGTGGGGGGGATTTAAGGTGAAGATTTCTGCTCTGCTCTTTTCAGCTCAATCTCTAAGACACTAAAGAAAAAAAGAAGCCTTTTTTTTCCAAGTGTAGACATTATTCTTCAAACAGCCACGCTGCTCATATAAATACGCACATTCTCTGAGCTGAGTGCTGGGAGATGACTGTGCCTTAATGAACAGCAGCCAGGCAGCTTTTGCTACCTTGGTGGAAAAGTTTAAACAATTTTTCTCTTCTTTTTAAAATGAATATGTCGGGGGTACTTGCAAAACAATACATGACCTACGTCCAACTTTGGAATGCATTAAGATGGCTCTCCCCCTCTATAGGGACCGTGCAGGGCTGCAACCCAAGAAGCTGTGTGGAGAAGAGAGATACTGTGGTGATTCTGCCCACCTGAGAGCAACAGGGTATTCTGAATATATGCACCTGTGTGCAGAGTGCAGGTGAAGCAGTGTGATATGCAAGGTAAGGGGCCAGAGTTACATTGCCCAGGTACCTCAGTGCACAGATTACAACAGCAGAGGTCCAGCCTCAGTTTTTATAGGGACTCCTGTACAACATCTTTCCTTCTTGGTCCCGTGGGGCCAGGGAAGCAGGGTCAGGTGGGTGGTGGTGCATTGTAGTACCATGTGGAGGCTGACTCCAGGAGGACGTGGGCAGGACCACGAGCCCTGGAGTCCTGGGGAATGTTTCTGTGATCGCCCGAGGAAATGGAAGAAAGGGCAGCAGGTTTCAGTGCTCTCCGGCATGGAGGAGCTGGTATTACAGAAGGAGATTGTTAGCTGAGGGCCAGCTCCCAGTTCTAGTGTAAATCCAGCATTGCTTCACCCCGCTTACCGCTTCAGGCCCTTACAATTACTGCTGGGGTCAGAATCTGCCCCTGAGCATTTGCAAATTGCACAAAAATGAGTGGGTGAGCGCTGGAGGTTGTATTTGGTCAAATGAGAGCTGCTGGGTGCATGCTGTGTGGAAAATTAACCAGTCAGAGCCTGGGGCAGGGCTCTAACAGCAAGCAGCTTCCCAAAAATCCTCCTAGAGTGTGGCAGGACTTTCATCCCAGCCTGATTTGTAACGTGTTCCCTGCCACCACTGCAAATCTGAGCCCGGCCTGTCATCAGGAGGTGGGAGATGGCCCAGGACATTCTGCAAATTTCAGGCTGGCCGTTCCTGAAAGATGTGGAAAGCACGTGTAAAATCCCACCGCTGTGATTTGGTAGCATTAAATCCCTCAGTGCCATTGCATGCCTCATCAGGTGAGGCAGGGATGCACACAGCTGTTAGAGTTTCCCTTAGCTGAAAACCCTTGGGTTTTCAGGGGGCTGCTTTTCATTTGTATTGATGTAAATGAGAGAAAAACACAGATCTCGTAGTTGTCATGGGCGCCTGTAGATTCTGTCCTTTTTGTTTTTATTCTTTAGGCATGCTGCAGAAGATTTTGCAGTCAAACGTGGAGCAGCTAAAGACACGTGCCACTGGGCAGATTCCCCTGGGGTGAGCAGCTGATGTAGTACACCTGCATAAATTATTCCCTTTCTGGATGGGTTTCACTCATGAAGTCTCTGCTTCAACCTAGGTCTCTGGGAAAGGAATCAAGCACTGTCAGACTGTCACCGCCTCAGGAGAGATGTTGCTGTTGACTTTCATGGCAGGGCTGCATGGTCCTCCAAATGCCTGTGTCTCTCAGAGACTAGAACCTTTGTACCGATTTCCAGAAATGCCGTATTGTTTCCCCTTCCTTCCCACCAAGAACCCAGGCTAGGCATCCACATCCTCTTAATTACAGCAATCTTGACTTGCATCAGCAGGAACTGGAGTGACACATGCCTCACTTCAAAGCTCTCTCCCTGCCTATGAGGTAGCTGCTGATAGCAGAAGATACTGGCATCTGCAGATCACAAATCAAGTGAAAGTCTAGTGAGCTGCCCAGAAGACACTGCTCCGGGTTGAGTCATCACCCTTTTCCACCTGTTCTCAACTGGATGGATGAGAAAGGATAACTCATGTTCAAACACCCAGGTCAGCTGCGCCCGCCCATACAAAATAAACATTTGATGTCAGTGAAGAAAATTAATGGGCAGCAATTTCTGCCACTTCCTTTCCCTTCACGCATTTCTCTGGAGTTTTATCAAAAGTAAAGAGAGTGAATAATGAGATCGTGGTTGGCATGCGGACTCTGCTGGAGGACACGATGCCCAAGCGTGCCCCGCCAAGGCCAGGCAGGACTGGCGTCACTTGGCCTCTACAATCCCTGCCTGAGCCCCTGATTGTCACCACAAGGCCGGGGAAGGAACAGGCTGCTTGCTGGCCACCCCATGCGGAGTGAGAGCAGGGTGGCTTTCACTCTGATACGCGGGGCCAGAGGAGAAGGAAATATAATCCACATCCTCTGCCAGTCTGGGGGCTCCCAGCATCGTTGAGAGCTGAAAATATGTAACTTCACATCCTGGGCACATCTTTATGGTTTGATCACCTCATGCTGATGGATCACAGTCAGTGAGGGGCACAGCAGGTCCCAGGAGCTGCCAAGTGAAAGCTGAGGAGAGCTGAACTTGTACAGAAATGAGAGCACATTCATTTTGCCAGCAAAAATTTGTTGGGATTCACCACAGAATGGGAAATTCACCACAGTTGGGATTCACCACAAATGTCTGCGTGGCAGGGTCTGACCTGCTGTCTCAGGATACCACGCCCTTGCCAGGGTGGTCTGACAGCCCCAGGGAGCAGCTAGCCAGATGATGCACTGCTCCGGAGCAGGAAGCGCAGCCACTACGTTCACCCCTGGCATGGTTTCTCGAGAAGACAAGCCTGGGAGAAGGCAGGCAGACCGTTGGAGAGAAATCTCCCCTCCAACGTGGCTGAGGTGCCATAATCGCACCCTGCGAGGCTCACCAGCCTTTGGGGAAGCTCCCTGTGCCCCGCAACAAGCAGGATGGACAGTGGCTTGCAGCCACAGCAGGGTGTCCTGCTGGAAAACCCCAGGTGCCGCCGGGAGCGGTGGCTCAGTAGGTGGCACTCTGCATCCACGGGGAACCAGCACCTTCCCAAAAGCGAGCCCTGCCCCTCACTGGCCCAGCACCCTGCCCTGCCAGCCCCACTGCAGTGGGGCAGCCCACAGGGGTGAGTCCTGCAGCCCCCTCAAAGCTTCATCTCCTTCCATCACTGCTGGGGATGTCCTCCAGCAGCTCAGCCTGGGGACAAAGTCCAAGCGTCCTTCCAGCCTGGGAACAACGCCATGGTCAAGCTGAGCACCTCCTGCCCGATAGCATGCAGCTGACGGGGGCACGGAGTTGGGAAGAGCAGATCCAGGCCCTCCCTGCTCAGGAAGTGTCTGATTTCCCTTCGCCTGTGGCAGGTAAGCTGGTCAGAGGCTGGCCCTACAGATCAGCAAGGGAGAGGTTTCCAAAATCTTTGTCCTGCTTGTGGCTCCCTCTGCAGTCGATGGAAGTTGTGTGGGTGACGTATCAGCCAGAGCACTGGGGGCTTCCCTCCCTGCACGTCTCCCCAAAACACCTGACCTCTGGAGGTGTCATCTCAGAGAAGCCCGCAGAGCTTTGCTGGAAAGGATTTTGGGAAAAGCTCTGGTGATATCTCCCCCAACCCTCCTCCTGTCCAACTGGCAGCCAGCACCCTTGGTATGTTCCCTGGATGCTGAGTGTCTCACCTTGCTGCCCCAAACATCCCAGCTGCATTGGCAGTACAGGATGCCAAAAGAAAAGCACTCTCATGCCTTTGCTGTGGCCACCAGCACTTCTAAAGCGTTTCACAGGGAGAAGAGATTCCTGAGCTGTGCTAGTTTATGCCCGGCCACCCGTTTTTCTTGCAGGAAGCAGAAGAGGCAGGAGGAAGTCAGCAAAATGCCGAACAAATTTGTAGCGTGCCAAGCCAAATTCCTTGCCGCTGCCAGCTGGTGAAGCGGAGCCATTGGTTGGAGATTTCAGGAGCGAGGTCAGAGTCAGTAGCTGGATGTGCCATATTTGGTCTCTAAACAGTGCAGGTAACACAGTCAATTGCACTCGGGTCATTAAACCTTTCCCCCGGTTAGCTTCTATTTTCACTTGCTTAGCAATTTGCCAAGCACAGCACGAGGTTGGAATTTTCAGTGCTTCTTGGAATGAGATTGAAAGAATTACCTCAAAGTGTTCCCGGTAAATTTCTCTCTAACAAAGGCCGGGAGAAATTTACTTCATTTTAAAGGCAGCAAAAAAAGAAAACAGGGAAGCTGTAGGAGCCAGCTTTGAGCACGTCAGGCGAGGGGCAGGAAAGGTCTCAACTTAGGCATCTCTATTTGGCCATTCTCACAAAACAAACCCCACTTGTAGGCAGAACAGACCCCGTCCCCAAAAGTCAGCATCTCTGCCTTTGGAGAAGCTGTGCTCACACTTGGTCTGTGGCCTGTACCTTACAGAGGTTATGGGTGGGTAGTTCGGGTCTGTGGTGGAGGGGAGGGAGCTGCGTTGAGCCCCAGGCTGCCCCCAAATGAAGACTGAGCGACTGATTTGGCAGCGTCTTTTTTGGAGCTGTCAGGCATCACTTCCCAAGATTTACCCACTCTGGAGTGCTCGGCGCGGAGCTGGCATGAGCCTGAGAGCCAAACAGAGCCCCAGGAGCTGTGTGTCCTCCTTTGGCCTGCAGAGAAGAGGGGAGAAGACTTAATAACCGAGCAACTTTGATCCCAGCTAGGTTAAACAAAGGCTCTGGCAGCTCCCTGAGCTGCAAATGGCATTCCAGAGCATCCCAATTAGAAGAGCAGAGCTTTGTCTGACTCTCACGGCCATCCCACCCTCTTCTGCTTCCTCCTTATAGCCGAGTACTGGGGATGCTCTTACGACACCCCGTGAGGAGGAACCTGATGCAGAGAGCTCCCATCTCGCAGCTCCTGGGGGCCATACATCCCCCTCTGATGCTCCACGCTGAGCCTTTGTGGTGCTGACCGACACCAAGAGGCATCCACCTGCTGTCCTCACACCCCTGTAGGGCTTTTCTGCGTTCCCACCCTACACCAGTGCGCTACAACCTGTTCCCCTGGGGTTCATCCCCTAAAAGCAAGCCGGTGTGGGACACGGGAGAGCAAGGCGCCCTTCACCAGGAGTGAGCGCCCACCCTGGCTGGCTGGCTGCCCCCCTCCTTGCCCCAACTCCGTCAGTCATTACTTACGTCCTGCTCCCCGAGCACACCACCCACGGCCCCACACGCAGGGCCATCACCGCCTTTACTGCCCCCCAAAACACGCCAACCCGCTTCCTCCGAGGCGCGGGGGGCAGAGCAAAGAGCGGAGGCGTGCCCCGCCATAAACGTGCCGCGCTGTGTGTGTGTACGGGGCTCGCCATGGCAACCCCGCTCCGCCTCACGGCATCGGGAGGGGGGGACGCGGAGCCCGGGGGGGGGGGAGCCGCCGACCCCCTGAGGGGGCTCCCCGCAGGGCGACCGTTGAGGCGGGAGCGCGACCGTTGGGGGGGGGAGCGACCGTTAACGGCGGGCGCGAGCCCCCCGAGCGCGCTCAGCAAGGTCCTACGAGGAGCGGCTGAGGGAGCTGGGCTTGTTCAGCCTGGAGAACCTTCTTTACTGAAAGGGTTGTGAGGCACTGGAACAGGCTGCCCAGGGAAGTGGTGGAGTCACCATCCCTGGAGGTCTTTAAAAGACATTTAGATGTAGAGCTTAGGGATATGGTTTAGTGGGGACTGTTAGTGTTAGGTCAGAGGTTGGACTCAATGATCTTGAGGTCTCTTCCAACCTAGAAATTCTGTGTGACTCTGTGAAGGTGCGCGTGCGCCGCCCCCCCCCCTCCCCTCACGGCTCCCTCCCGTCACCTGTGGCCCCGCCCAGAGACGTCACGGAGCCGCCTATAAAAGGGGCGGCGGCGGCGGGCGGCTCCTCATGGAGCGCTGCGCGCCGCCGGCTGTCGCGACACTCCACCTGTCGCCACGCTTCCCCTGTCGCCGCCGTCTCCTCCGACACTCCCTTCGCCGCCGCGATCCCCGATGCGCGCCCTGGCGTTGTTCGTCGCGCTGGCCGCGCTTGCAGGTGCGGGGGAGGGCGGTGAGGGCGCCTCGCGGGCGGCGGTTGGGGCCGTTATGAGGCGGTTTGGGGGGGTTGGCGGGCTGCGCGCCCCCCTGACGGCGCCGTCTCTCCTCACAGCCCGCCTCGCCGCCGCCTCAGCGGCCAACGGCACCCAGCCCGGCCCGAGGGAGGCTGAGGGCCGCCAGGGGGAGGCTGTGCCCAGCCCCGACTACGAGGAGGAGGAGGAGGAGGGTGAAGAGGCGCTGCCCGTCCACCAGTACATCGTGGATGACTTGATCCGAGGTGAGGCGGCGGTCCCTCCCCGCGGCTGTGCTTCGCCTGCTCCGTGCTGCCCCTTCTCGTCCCGAGTGCTCCTGCTGGGTTAGAAATAGGGTGTCAGGTTTGGGAGCGCAGTGGGAGTTGAAGTTAAGGGGTGTGGGAGCCGCTGTGCTATTTTCCTCACAGGAAAACTGTGGTGGAGTGACAGTCTAGCTGCTGTGGGAGCATCAGCAGGGCTGCTGGGTGCTGTCCCTCTCAGGAGAGGGGTTGAGATGAGGCTGGTTGTCCTGCCTTGAAGGCTTTTCGGGGTGTCTTCTCATGCTTACTTGACTTGGAGTTGACTAAAGTTTTGCAGGAGAAACCAACGCAAACCCCCTATGTGGCTGCAGAAGTGCTTGTTAGGCATCCTTTAGCCAACACTTAAACAGTCCTGGAAGCAATGAGGACATTTGAGCAGCCCACCAGACCAGAAACAGGGGGGACAGGAGGACCTTCTTGGTTCTCATCTAAGTGCAGTTGTGAGACAAGTTGTGGAGGCTGTGGCTAAAGGAATACCTATGAGTGATTAGCAATTCAGTGCAGGATAGTAATCGGTGCTGTTGCCTTCTAGGATGGGATCCAACTGCTGTTTTTCCTGAGGGAACACCCTGACGCTTGAATGAGACTCAGGGGAGCATGTTCCAGATATTATGTACGGGAACGTGTGGACCCTTGTTCAAGCTTTCTGTGACTGCAAGACCTTCAGGGGGAACAGGAATGTCAGAGTTAGTGAGCAGTTTAGCCAGTAAAACTACTGGCTCCGTGACTTCTGTGTTGTCTAACTGCACAGAAACCAGATTTGTTACCAAAGGTGGTTGGTTTGTAGACAAGCTCTGCTACTTGGCATGAGGTTTATCTGTGGAGGGAGTCTTCAAGCTGTTATGATTCAACTGTGGATGGTTTTCTTGGCTATGCAGCTTGCAAACGGGGACGTAGATCAAACCAACAGCCTCTTCCTTGAAGAAGGAAGAATGGAAACAGCCTCAATTACGAAAGTGTGAACCTAAATATCAAGTCCAACTGGACAGGACGGAGGCCTCAGCTGTCAGTTTTAAGTTCACACTTCTAGGGATAGGAAACCTTGCTGCAGGAACAGTGTTCCTAGTTTACATATTAATATAGCTTATACAATTTGAATCAGACTTCTGGTTGCTGAAGGCGTTTTTGCTTTTAAGTAACTTCAAGCCAGGCTTGTTGCTCTAGAACTTAAAATGATTGCTGTCTAGACAACAGTGAACTACACCTTGTTTCTTTGTGTACTTTGTGTGCAATCTCTTGTCACTAGAAATACAGGGCTATGGAGTTGTTGCATCCTATTGTGGTAACTGCCTGCATGTGTAGTGCTCTGAGTGAAATAATCCCCAAATTTTTATCTCTTTGCGGCACTATAGGGAAATAAACAGTCTGGAAGATGACTGCAAATGTCTTCTCTGTTGTTGAGACCTCATGTGGTTAACTGTTACTCCTGAATAGCGTGGCATCACTTGGGGAAGACTTGTTTTATGGCTAGCAGAAAAGGGATGGTCTGTGCAGAGAACCAGTGCTTCACCACCTTGCTCTATGATAATGCTATCAAGCTTTGTTGCCATGTGTCTGTGGAGTTTATTCACCTAGTCAGTGACTGCCCTATGCTTGTTCTCCCTGGCAAAAGGAAGATGCCCTCAAATCCAAAGGCTACTAAAACACCAGCCTCTTAAACCACACTCTTTGGGAGGTTTATTTTAATTGAGATAATGAGGGGCAACAGTAAGTGGCAGAACAAATAACCTGACTCTTGTGGACTCTCCTGCTTTCACTCCTCTGGTGCACTCATCTCAAAGTAGGAGAACTGGAAATGAACTATCTCTTCTGCTGAGGACAGCACTGCAGGTTATTTGGGAGAAACAAGTATGCTAACTGGGATAGCAGGCTGTCTTGGCTTGACAAGCGCCCAGGACTATCTAGCAACTTACAAAGCCTTTCATCACTGATGCAAATAGAGTTTAGAGCAATGGAGGCTGGTAGCCTTGCATCTGCGTCGCTATAAAATGTGTGGATGGCTTGGCTCAGTGTGAACTCATATTCTTCAGAAGTCCTTGACTGAACCTATGTGGTTTCACTCAAGTGTCTTAGCCATGTGGAACACGGCTAAGTCCTTTAACTCTGCTCTTCATCCACTCCATCTTCTTTTGCTGCAATCTGCCTGCATTGCTCAGGACTCAAGGGTATCAGAGTTGAGCTTAATGAGCTTCTGAACTTGCTGCATTTGTGCTGGATGTCAAGTACCCAGGTCTTTGCTCGCTTGCATTTGATGCTCCACAATCATAGGCTCTCATGAAGTGATTCCCAAATCTTATTTCATTTTCACAGGATCTGTCTGTTTAGCATTACTAGACTGAGTCCTCTTGTTCTTTTTTCAGTTGAACCTGTGGTTAAGCCCAAGACAACAAAGAGGGGGGGTGAGAAGAATGCTGGCAAATCAAGAAGGAAGAAGAACAAAGGGAAGAACAAAAAGAAAGGGACTCCCTGTGAAATGGAATACAAAAACTTTTGCATCCATGGTGAATGCGTATACCTAGAACATCTCCAGATGGTGACCTGCAAGTAAGTTACATGCACCTTGTGAGCCAGCTCTGATTTGCATGTGCTGGTGGCATA